TGTAAGCATTTTTCTATCAAATATGTTAATATTAGGCGTTACCTAAAATATTATTTTTTTCTACCGAAAGTTAAGTAGCGAAATTAATATTTCTGGTAAAAAAATGTTTTAGGTAACACTTTACCGAAAATATTAAAAAAATTAACATTTCTGATATGAACTTTCTTTAACCGTATATTAAAGCTGTCGTACGACAAAACTACCCATTTTTTTTGTCAAAGTTATTGTTATGCTTACTATAAAGTTGTTTTATGGCTTAAAGTAAAAATAGGGGTTAACTATATGGATGATAACTTATCTTTATATTTTGTCAACTTTTGGTCACTAATTTTAAAAAATATAAGATATGATCACTTTTATTTTTATTTAATTAAGATATGGTCACTCAAAGCTAACTGCCATTAATAACAGTTAATATTTTGATATATTCATACATTTGATTTCTGTTATTTACATATTCTCTCAATTTAGTCATATTTTTAATAAATTAAAATAAATTATATATTTTTAAATGAAACTAAAAATAAAATATTTTTAAATTAAGTTAATAATAAAATATATTTAATAAGTTGGTATAAAAATATTTTAAGTTAATATATATAAAAGTATATTATATATAATATGGGTCACAGGTACCCGCTCCATAATATTTTTATTTTTTCTTTAAGTAGTATTATTTAAAAAAAAAAAGTTATATAAAAAATTCTAAAATTTAAAACTTAAAAGGCTATAATATGTATAATTGACATATAAAGTTTAAAAATTCAAATTACATAATTGAAATAAAATTTATTAAAATTTAAAATGCATAGATATAATTAAAAGTTTCCAATCAAGTGGTGACACGTGACACTTCATGATTAGAGAGTTGATTTTTTAAATTAAATTAAAATTAGGACTAAATCGATAGAATATATAAATAATATGGACCAAATGTAGAATTATACTAATTTTACTAACTGCCACATCACCACTTTCGTTAACTGTTAATGATTAGTGGTCTGATTGAGTGCATTTAAATAGTTAGGTGGTCTGATTGACAATAATTTAAAAATGGTGGTCAAAATGAAAAGGGGCTATGGTAGGGTGGTCTCTTAACCTTGAGGTCGTGGGATCGAATCTCACAGATGCCATTTCATAATTCGGAGGTCTCTTACGGAAGTTGCTCTCAACCTGGTGTTGGGGGTAGCCTACTATCTTACCTCCCCCTTATTCCATATATATATATATAGGAAAAAGGGACAACCATTTTTTTTCCTGCTTTTTAGATAATTCAAGATATTAGGAATTGATGATTATATTGGTATTCGAACTAATCAGAATCTCATTTGTTTCTTTTAATTTAAATATACAAATTTTATTTTACACTTTGTTAACTTATTTGTGAGATATTTATTATCAATATTTTACTTATTTTATAAATAACAATAATAATTTATAAATTATTTAATTAAGTTTTATTATTTTATAAGAATTAATATTTTTTTTGGTAGCAAAAAGAAACACTGTCAGAACAGCGAATAAAAACCTCAACTTAACTCATTCATATGAATAAGGATAATTTTTGTTTGATTTTTATAAATGTATCGTCACCCGTTTAAATAATTTAATTCGTAATCATTTTTATTTTGTTTTAATTATTAAGTTATCACTTTTGTTTCGTTTTAATTAAGATGTGATCATATATCATAAACAACCGTTAAAGGTTTAACAATTTATGACACGACACATTAATAAAATGGTTTAATTTTTATTTTAACCCGTGAACTTTAGATAAAATTTAATTATGATGATTATAAAATAGTATATGTTTAGATTTTTTTTAATCATTGACAATATAATAAAAGAATAACATTTCTTTTAATAAATGAGATTATTTAATAAGTTTTATGAAAGTTGAGTTTATATGAATTTGGACATATAATTTGTTTCAGAACGAAGTTAAGAGTAAGTAGGGTCCTATTCGTGTGATTGAATAAAAATTGTATATGGTTAATCCTTCTAAAAAGTTAATAATTTAAGTTAAATAATTTTAGATCCTTTGTAATATATATATATTTCAAAACTTAATAATATAAATGAGATTCCTTTTAATTCCTTGGTAAAATAAAAAGTATATTTAAACCCTTGTAAATAAGTGTTTACTTTAGCTTTAAAATTTTATAATTTTATTTTTGACATTTAATAAAAGGGAAAATTATAAAGTTGGTGACTGAACTTTGCTCTTTCTCCTATTTCACTTATTGTACTTTAAATTATTTTAATTTCCTCACTGAACTTAATATATTTAGTTTTTTTGGGTAAGTCAGCTGTTTCCTCGCTAACGGCGTTATAAATGAACTTTTATATAAATGTAAAATGATGTCACTTTTGTGAAAATTTGTTTTTTTAAATGCCATCGTTTTAACGCCGTTAACTATTTAACCGCGGAATGACAAAATAACTCCAATGTATTAAGTTCAATGAAGAAATTGAAAACTTTTAAAGTTCTATGATCAAAATAGGAGAGAGAGTAAAGTGAGTGATGAAATTTGTAATTTACTCCTAATAAAATTCTTAACTTTGTGACTTGATTCGATCGGATATTTACCCATAATCCTTGTAAGATTGATGTGTTCAGGTTATCTAGTAATACATGTATATGTTATCTTCGTATCATACCGTATACCCATATCGAATACATGTATTATATGTTAGTGTTCCCTAAAAATGATGAGGACAAGCATGGATAAAATTAGAAACCAGAATCCAGTGAAGAAAAATCTTATTAAGAACCGATGAAGAGCTCACGTACCCTGTTAGTTTCCCTGCACTATTACGATACACAGAACAAAAAAGGAAACAAAATTATTCCTTCAAGAGCTGGCTGAAGCTATTGAAGAAAAAGAACGTTAAATCTGTTGAATGTATCACCAAGAAAACCTTCCAAATGAGCCTTTGAATTTGATGATGTTGCCTTGACGAGTGGAATATATATATATCGACAAAACCGACTCCTAAAACCCTTCCTTTCTCTTCTTGGGGCATTCGTCGGCTTCCCATATCCAACGCTCGAGAAATGAACATCTATCTTTCGGTTCTCCTTTGTTTCCTCTGGATTGCTATCACCCTCACCGTTGTCATCGTCGATGGGAGATGACACGTAGTACACCCTGAAACTGGGTGCTTGCATGAATGAATCAATGCCATCATCTCTATCCTCCAACTCCTCACTGCTGCTGCTTTCCTATTCGACGCAGGCCTCTTCCTTCTCAACGTTTCCCCTCTTCTTGTGATCAGCACCGTCTCTTCTTCCGGTCGCATCTCGATCGATGGTCAATCGAGTGTATAGCTGCGAGGGGTCTCCTCCTTCGGTGATGTCGAGCTTGGAGATGCCACAACCCATTAGGAAGAGGCTAGGGAGAGAGACCTGCCTGCGGGAAGGAAAATGAAAGGGGTGTGGTTTCTAGCTCGGGTGATTAGTGGGAAGGACTTGCAGGCCTTCTCATGTGGGTGAAAAAAGAACGGAGTTGGCATGAAAAAAGAGGAAAAATCAAATGAGAGATCCGACAACAATTGTGGGTTATATGTTATTGACTGCTAAATTTATCGTAAAAATTTCATGTTGAAAAAGTTTTTTCCCCTTTTTTTAGTTGGAGATTTTTACAGCTGGTTGCTTTAACACTGTTTTTCCAGTTGTTTAATTTGAATTGTGAAGATGGTCACCTCAATTTGGATCAATACCAATTGATTTAGGGTCATATGGTTGTCCCTTGTTTACATATGTAATGGGATAAGGAGGAGGTAAGATTAGATAGTAGGCTGCCCCCAACATCAGGATGAGATGCAGCTTCCGTAGAAGACCTTCGAATTATGAAATGCCCTCCGCGAGATTCGATCTCACGACCTCAAGGTTAAGAACCTTGTACTCTACCAACTGAGCTGGATAGTCATTTCAAAATGGTTGTCTCTTGTTCCCATATGTAATGGGGTAAATGAGAGGTAAGATAATAGGCTTACCCCAACACTAGGTTGAGAGCAGCTTCCGTAAGAGACCTTCGAATTATGAAATGCCCTCCATGAGACTCGATCACACGACCTCAAGGTTAAGAACCTTATGCTCTACCAACTGAGCTGGATGGCCATTTAAGGTCATATGTTTTTTCAATTCAATGCATGCATGGTGGGTGGATGATGGTCACGGTGCTGTCCTCAAGTTGTACATTACATGTGCGGTAGACATTGTGATGTGAGTAGTCATTGACCATTGGGTCCTACCCAGAGAAACCGAAGATAATATATCTTGTAAAAGAGGGAGATTGCACGCTTCTCATCATCTTTGATGAAACAACTTCCTCTCATCATATCTAGAACTAAATGTTATATCGTCTTCGAATTTCTTTTGTAAATAGTATTTATATTGTCATATATTTATCGAATTCATCATTAAAATATTTTTATTTATGTGAAAAGAATTTTTATACACATCAAAATCTCTAAAGTTTTATATTTTTTTATCAATTATGATGATAGAATTATATACTTTGTCAAAAATTAAATCTTCATATTTATTGATCATATTAATTTGGAGATAACAATCATGACTTTAAGACGAGGCAAACACTGAGAACTAATATATAAACAGTCATGCATAACTGTAGAGAGGATACTCTCTCCTTTCTGTCACAAACTCATTCTTAATAAATCTTATTATTCATTACAATCTTCAGATTATCCAATCTCCATCTCCTTTGCAAAACGATCGATCACGACCATCTTAGTAAACTCTTTCGTCGACATTAAGCAATCCATTTCCTTGTTGTTTATAATGTCTCAAACTGCGTGCTTGCGGTCGCTTTAGTTTTCTCCCTTTTTTGTAAGCATCTTTTCATTTGGATAATTTGATAGGAAAACTGAGTAGGTTAGGTAAAACAACTAAAATTACAAACACATTAATACAAGCAGGACCATTTCTTAGCCGTAACACAAAATTCAAACAGAAAGGCATCATTGGCATGGAATTAAAAGATAGTAAGAGGATCTCTTCGACTTTAAGCCAAAAGAAAAATGAGAATAATTACAAAAGCCTAAAAAAAGTAGCACAGATTCGATACATGGAAGCCTATTTTACAGGGGCATTGAATTCTTCTGATGTAGCCGTGTAGGGTAGAATATCAGCCCCCATGTGCCTCCAATCACCATTGACACGATGCTATGCTATGATTATATTACTGCACAACCCTTCTTTCCTCGGATGCTCTCCATTTCATATGCATTTGTTTCATAGTATTTATCTACTTTTGATCATCTTTTCACTTGCAAAAGCTTAGATACCGAAGCAATAATTCGTGCCACCACTTTCCCTGTCACTATGATTGTTTTCTTCCTCGTTTGAGCTTGGTGAAGTAGGTTGAGGAGGACCAGACACGGAGCTGTCTTCCACTGTAAAATCGATCCAACAATGCATGTTAACTGCACTAGTTGTCTTGTTAGAAACCAGTCGTTTTTTAGCTCTTTTGTGTCTCTTCCCCTGAAACAGTCGGAAAACTAACCAATCTCCAATGGTTATCTGCAAATATGGGAAAACCCCATTGTTAAGATGATGATTTTAATCGATTCTGTTTCGTTTACTGGTACTTTTATTTGTTGTTGAATCACCTGAGGTGAATCAAGAGTTGCAACAGAGTCAACCAGGCGATATTGGTGCACCAGCCATCGATTCTCGGTCCCATTAGAACACTTGCCTTCACAGAAGATGAAAGCTTTTCTCATCCCAACTACTACATTGGTTGTTCCAGAAGCTAAAATTTGTTTCTCTTTGCCTATGGGCTTCCAGTAACCAGAACCATCTACTCTCTTGCATTTTTTGGTACTGTCACTATCTTTTCTGGTGCTAAAAAAGTACTTATTTTCTTTCCAATCCCCTGAAAATAAACGGAAAAAATGGATCAAAGGGTTTCAATTTTCAAAGAAGAATTGAAAGTTTTTGTAACTTTGAGAATCTGGTCCGAGCAAAAAAACCTGGCAAGCTCCAAGGATCAGTCTGGAGAACATCGAACTCGGGAATGACAGAAGCAGGTAAAGGGAGACATAATGCTTTTCTCTTCAAGTAATGAACCACAAGCTCTTCATCTGTGGGTTGGAATCTGAAGCCGATGGGCATTTTGATCCCTCCATTTACAACAGAGAGAATAAACAAAAGGGAAACGGGACTTGTGTGGGTTTTATGGGCTTATAGGGACTGGGAGTTTCCTTTATAGAGAGAGTAAATGGCAATCGGCAAAGTGCAAACAAACTCCTTAAATTAGCGTCTCTCGTTACAACCCCATTGCTTGCTTTACGCCGAAGGGTGGTTTCTTAGACAAACGTGTAAGAAAACAACGTCGTCCCCTTGTAAAGTGAGCCCCACGTGTGCCTCTTTCCTGCTGGTTCTTCTATTTCCATGGGACATGAGAAAGGTCCAAACTAGTTTTGGATAATAGAGTGCGTTTGTATTTGTGTATCGTCAATCACTTTCTGTGTCCAACTTGCTGCGTCCAAAATAAGCATGGTTGTCGCTTCCCCACGTGATTCCAACTTATCCCATGCTTGTTTTGTTACAACGCAATCGTGTGGGTGAACATAAAAATTGGCCTGTTCCCGCCCCTTTCCTACACCGGAAGCAAATTCCGTATTAACATTTATGAACATGTTTGGAAGGTTTAGCGAAACTCGGTTGCCTGTTGTAATTAACTGATCATAATATTGATTGAGTTTTAATCCAATCAATATTATTATAATATATAAGATGATATATTTAAGGACGAGTCTGTCACGTTTGACGAACCACTGAACATTATTAATGATTAGTATAATTGAACATTATTAATTTAATTTATAAAAAATTTAAATTATGAAAGATTTAATGTATAATTATAAATTAGTTAAAATTTTAAATGTAAATTATTTAAAATAAAATATTAATTACATTATTTTTCATAAATTTTTTAACAATAATTGGATCAAATATCAATCTTTAAATTAAAAACCCCTAAATATTTAAGGGTTGATATTTTATCCAATTATTATTAAAAGAATATTATAAAAGATGATGTAATTAATATTTTATTTTAAATAATTTACCTTAGATTTTTTATAATTTATAATTACACGTTGAGTCTTTTAGAAATTTAAAATTTTATAAATTAAATTAATAATTCTCAACAATACTTAACGTTAGTGGCGTTCAGCGATACTCGTAAAACATTATAAAATTTTACTAGATTTAAACATATCTATGTGCGGTTTATTATCTTCTGATAAACATATTTATATATGGTTTATTATCTTTGGATTTATAAACGATCAATCAATATAACCTTTAGTTAAGGGTAAATTATATAAATTGTCTTTCAACTTTATTTTTTTTCTTATTTTAGTCACTAAACTTTAATTTTTTTCAATTTATAACTCAAAATTAGAGATTATTTTTTGATAACTCATTTGTTATCTCTCGAAACTATGTTGACTTCCTTTTTTTTGGTTAATTTTTTTACCCATGTAAATGATCAACTCATATTCCAATTATTGCTCGTTCTGATCAATTTTGACACCGCGTATCACTCTCGACGACTTTCATACCCTAAAATGTTTAAATCATTGTATTACAATCTTCTAAATCTGAATTCGACCACTGTTTCATCTGGACCCCAAGACCACCACTATTTCATCAAATACCAATGATTAATTCAAAAAATCTTTTTTCTTATTTTATTTAAATAAATTTTAAATAAATATGATATTAATTTCATTTCCTTTAGTTTGGAATTTAATCATATTGTTGAAAAGCTTTAATTTAATTTTAAATTTAATTCGAATAAATTTATATAACTCAACTTTTATTTCGTTTATCTCAATTAAAAAAGATCGATTTAAGTTAGATTAACAAAATAGAACTTATCAATTCAATAAACTCAAAAAAAATACTCAATCAAATCAAATGCACACCTGCATTGCCAATAGCAAAAATTAATACTCCATGCATTTTTTTATTGTAAATTCATGAAGATTAAGTCATCAAATTTTCACAGTTCAGAATTCGTGAAGTGATCTAGTGGTTAAGAAAAAATTATTCTTCTTAGAGGTTTTGATCTTCTGGGTTCGGGCAGCTACATGTCTGTAGCGTGTGTGCATTGACAATATGCTAATTTTTTTTAACAAATATTACTTATAATCATCACGTATTACTAAAAAAAATTACAATTGAAAAATTAATGACAAAACAAAGCAAAATTATCAGTCATGGATACTCAAGAACAAAAAGGAAATAATAACTTAAATAATAATGGCAATCCTTGATGAGCACAAGACCAGTTTGAACACACTAATCTTGATATCTTAATTTCTCGAGAACTGGCCATGTTTGTGCACAGACTCATAGACATAGACAGGGACCCTTTCTGTCCCTATATGTAAGTCATATAGGGAATTTGACATAACTGACATCTTTTTTTTTTAATTTTTTCTTTTTGATACCGTTTGATCAATATTTTCAGAAGTAGCACTCTTTCTGCTGAGTTGGCAAAGGCGCATCCCCGGGGACGCGCTTTACCCGTGTTTTCGTTGAGTTGGATGCCACGTGTAGAAGGCGCATCCCCGGGGACGCGCCTTTGCCAACTCACGGGACGCGCCTTCCATTAAATGTCATAAATGCCCTCATCCGTTTTTCCTAACTACCCCTCCTCCTCCCCTATATAAACCCCCTCAACCCTCCCCCATTCTTCACACCAAAATCATCTTCTCTTCTCTTATATAACTCAAATTCTCCAACTATTTGAGTTTTAAATTTGTTATTAGTGGTAAAAAATTTATTTTTATGTTAGTATTTTTTTTAAATAGTTATTATTTTTTATATTAATATATTTATGTAAATATTATATTTTTATTAAAATAATATTTATAATTATTATTTATTTAGAATTATTAATTTTTTGCTAATTATATTGTTTTGTCTACAGTTATAATGGAAAACGAAATGCTGTTGCGATTGGATATTGATCATCTCCAGACATTTTAGCGATATGGTAATATTTTTTATAATTAATGTTAATATTTAAATTTATTTTTATTTTAAAGTTATTATGAATTTATATTAATTTTTATTTTTTATAATGTATTATTTAGGATGCTGATCGTATTTTAGAGACTTTTATTAAAAATCCACGAATACCGACACCGGACGTATTTTGCCATATTTGGCTTCTGCCGGGTTCGGGTATATTGCAACAATTATAGGCGGTTGCAAACTCGAACCTGTCCTAATTTCTGGACTGATTGAGAGGTGAGGCCCGAGACACACACTTTTCACCTTCCATGTGGAAGGCGACAATTACATTGGAGGATGTCTCTATGCATCTGGGCTTCCCGTCGACGGAAATATGATGTGTGGTATGGCGGATGGTGATTGGCAATCAATGTGCATTGATTATCTTGGAGCTGCTCCGCCAGAGTTTAATGGAGGTAGAATAGCTTTATCTTGGTTGAAAGCTAATTTTGAGGTTTTAAATGAAAATGCTTCAGAGGATCAAGCAAAGGCATGTGCTCGGGCATATATTCTACGAATAATTGGAGGAATATTGATGCCCGACAATCTCGCAACCAGGTGCATTGTATGTGGTTGCGGCATCTGATCGATTTTGATGAAGCTGGAAGATATAGTTGGGGTGCTGCAGTTTTGGCATTTCTCTTTAGAGAAATGTGTCGGGCGACGAATTAAGAAAACTGCTATCGGTGGATGTCTTCTGCTTCTACAATCATGGGCGTGGTTCCGCAGCCTTTCTATGCCCGATCGTGAATGAACCATACTATTACCCTTATTGTTTAGAGTAATTTTCGAACTAAATTTTGATTTAAATATTTTCAATTAAATAGGGTGATATTTAGTGTGAATGAACCATACGTATTACCCTTATTGTTGAGGTAATTTTCGAACTAAATTTTGATTTAAATATTTTCAATTAAATAGGGTGATATTTAGTTTATATTATATTTCATAGGTGGTCGATGAAAAGGACCATAAAAGTATACCTACTGGTTAGAGGAAATTCGTTTACTTATTGATACAAAAGCTGGGTCTGAGGTATGTTTTTAAATTTGTTTAATTATTAATTTTAATTTAAAATGTTAGATAATTAGAATATTTTATTTATTTGAATTGTATTTATATTTCAGTTTCAGTGGATACCTTATGCGAGCGATGAAGTGAAAGCTTGCATCCCACCCCACCTTAGTGGGTCATTAGAGGTATGGATATCGGTTATACCTCTTATATGTTATGCTATTATTGAGTGGCATCCAGTTGATCGCGTGCTCCGTCAGTATGGTTGTACGCAATATATTCCTGGAGCTCCTAGAATTTAGACGACGTGCATAACATAGATAGACGAGGGAAGAAAGATGTTAACTGGGTGGTGAGACACAGAGATTGGATTGCGCTTTGGGAGAACCGATATACACTGGTGGCCCCTCGACAATATTACGCTGAAACTGGTCATATGGTTACGGATAACTATATGGACTGGTTTAATGAAAATGGGAAGCCGTTTCCGGAAGCACGAGGGTTAACATTCCTAGGCGCCGAGAAAGACGTCAACCGTCTCAATATCATCATCCCCCGACACGTGGACGGAGAGAATGCGCTACCGGTTCTGCATCAGTCCCACCACAACATCCTTATTCGTCGATGCCGCAGGGGTACATGCCCAGCCCTCCACTTCATATGCCAAACCCACCAGTTTATATGCCATCTCCGCAGGGTTACATTCCGAGCCCGCAGGGTTACATTCTGAGGCTGCAGGGTTACATTCCGAGCCCGCAGGGTTACATACCTAGCCCGCAGGGTTTTATACCATATGGAGGTGCATATACGACTATGTTTAATGATCCAGCATATGGTTCATATGCATCTTATTTGGCTGGTGGTGCTTCTCCGCAGACACCTCAATCTCCATCTGGATCACAGACATTGATGCCAATGTTTCCACAGTTTTCACAGTTCCCTGGGAGCGGTGGGATTGTTACTAGCACTCCTCCAGGGTCGTTATTTTATACAGGCCCTTCAGCCCCTTCAGCGTCATCTACACCAAATGAAGAAAATGTTGCTGATGATGATAGTGAAGATGAGGAGACTGAAGAACAAGT